ATGCACATATATATATATATATATATATATATATATATATATATATATATATATATATATATATATATGAAGAAATATAGTCTTAAGATATGCTATATTTATGGGATAAAATGCTCAATATCAGAGATAGAGCGTGTGTAAATATAAAAGTGAACATAAAGTCAACACTTAGAGGCGACAGTCTGTTTCATGCTAGATGCAATCGGGAGTCGTGGCCTGACCATTGCATCTAGCATGAAACAGACTGTCGCCTCTAAGTCTTGACTTCTATGTTCACTTTTATATATATATATATATATATATATATATATATATATATATATGTGTGTGTGTGTGTGTGTGTGTGTGTGTGTGTGTGTGAAAAACCTGAAAACATAATCTTGTTCTTTTTTGTTTCCTCTCTTTAATAATGTTTTTTTTTTGTTTCATATTCGCTCACACTCATTAACCCATTGGTTGGGGAGAAATTATTAAAATAACCAATTCAAATATAAACCTTGAAGATATTTCAGTGAAATCTTCCTTTTTTTAAACTATAATTATATTTCAGATTGATTAGTGAAAATGGTTATGTTTATAATGTTGCAAAGAGACGTTGTGTTAAATTCCAAAGAAATTCTGTTGTGTTCAATCCATCTCATTTTTGCATAGCAGACAGTCGAAGATAGTAGAGGAGGCAACGGGAAACCATATCAGGATCTTTCACAAGAAGATATGTCAATATACAGATAATAATGTAAATATAATCTGTGGAATGCCATAATGTCTTACGTCCTGAATGAACTTCAACACGATTTAGTTGTAAGGACAAAAATTAAAACACCTTGCGTCCCACAAATGCAATGCAAGTAAAGAGTGTTTCATTAAGAGGGATCAAAGTCAGCAGTAAATTAATCAGTGTTATTGGTGAAAATGTATTTATTTCTCTATTGGATCATGTTAATTAAGTCATGACAATCATGTGTAAAAATGATATCGCCCAAATATCCGCCAAGGCTTCGGCAGCAAACCTCCATTCGATGGTTAACTTTTCTGATGACGTCTCTGCAGAGTTGCACATTGATCTCACCAATATGACTTATTATCTCATCCTTCAGCTGTTGAATTGTTGTTGGCTTTTTGTCATAGATGCTTTGAGATGACCACAACAGAAGAAATCTAAAGGCGTCAAGTCGCACGATCGTGATCGCCAGATGATTTCGTTGTTTCGAGAGATGATGCAACATGGGAACTTTTCATTGCATTTCTGTTTGAACGTCCATTTTCGTAACAGGTTTCGATAGCGTTAACCTGTGGTTTGATTGCTAATCTTTTCATGATTGAAATTGCCAAAGACTTAAGTTGTTAAATCTGAAAGAAATTTTTTTAAAAATCATTATACACTGAAATTTAATTCACATTTAAAATCGGTCCAAGTTACTGGAACACCCATCATATATGGCTGTCAATGACAAGGGCAGATCAGTACAGAAATTGGCATATGTAATAAAGAAAAATAAACCGCTCGAATAGCGTCCGTGGAAATTAGACATTAATGTTTCGAAGCTAAAGTTACAAGAAGAGAACAAGTAATCTCACGAAGTGTCAAATTTCAGAGGCCAAAGCACGATCCAATTTTGGGGAATATTGCTAACGATAAATAAGATATGACGACTCTCGGCAAAATGTATCATCGAATGTTCCCCGGATTTTATCTTCATGAATATTTAACAATGCATGTCAAGTATCAAAAATTGTTTCCCCGCTTTATTCTTCTACGATATCCATAAAGGTAACCCGTATTGCTGTGCAAGGTACCAGATTGTGGAGGAAAGGTTGAATTAAAAATTATTCGAGGCCAACCGTCCAACTTGGTCCAATCGAGATCAGCAGTTTGAAATTGCCGACACAGTATCAGTTAGTTCAAACATACATATTCAGTATAAGACAAGACAAAGTCGGCCTATCTATCTATCTATCTATCTATCTATCTATCTATGTCGCGCTTTTCGTATATATCTATCTATATATCTATCTATTTATATCGGCCTTTTCATGTCTATCTATCTATTTATGTATTACCCGCTCGGCCCGGTGGCTAGGATCAAAGTGTAGTATCTGCGCTTTGTGAGCTGCCGGGTCGGGTGTCTGTCGAACTCTCTGCTTGCAGAGAGGAACCCGGACGAAGCTCCGCCGAAGGGTAGGGTTTCGTTGGGGGAGGTTGACGGAACTGGCCCGCCTCGGCGGGTTTGGATGGTTATTTATTTTTGGCTGGGCCTACGGGCTCAGAGATACACACATTAAAAATGCCTTGTGCCACATTCGATCCCCGTGGGTGGATTGATAGATACCATCTATCTATTTATTTATCTATCATTTGCTTGTTTGTTTCTATCTATCTCGTGCTTTTCGTATGTATGTATGTATGTACATATGCATGTATGTATGTATCTATCTATTTATATCGGCTTTTTCGTATCTATCTATGTCGCGCTTTTCTTATCTATCTATCATTTACTTGTTTGTTTCTATCTGTTTATCTATCTATGTCGTGATTTTTGTATGTATGTACCTGTCTATTTCTATCGGCCTTTTCGTATCTATCTATACTTGTTTGTTTCTGTTTATCTATCTATGTCGTGATTTTCGTATATATGTATCTGTCTATTTATATCGGCCTTTTCATATCTTTCTATGTCGCGCAATTTTCTTATATTTCTTTCTATATATTTATATCGGCTTTTCGTATATATCTATCTATCTATGTAGCGCTTTTGTTATATCTATCTATCTATCTATCTATCTATCTATCTATATCGGCCTTTTCGTATCTATCTATCTATCTGAGTCATTTCCATTAGAAAGAATATTCCTCACTTAAGACACCCATCAGAATATTAGTCCAATCAAATTGTTCAATAAAGACATAAGTGTATTCAGTTAAAATATTTCAAGTATTAAATCAGGTGGTTGGGGGGGTATATTAAATAAACATTTACGAAAATAATTCTGATTAGTATTTTGTAAAAGTTTTGGAATAAATGCGTAAACTAATCTCACAATTTTAGATAATTTTAAGCAGATCTAAAACTAATCGGCCGAAAAGTAATAAAATAAATGAAGAGTGATATTCGACTAAACATTTCGATTGAGAAATTAGAACGTTGCCTTTCATTTCAATATGTCTGACAATATTTTGCAATTATTTATGGTATTTTTTTAAACCGCTAATAAACCGCCTGCTCAATAATTTTTTTCGTTTCTTTTTGTCTATCTTTTCATAATCATTATTACTATCAATTTGATGGTTTCTTTTTTCATTCGTTGCATTTTGGGAGGACAAAATGTCAATTTACCTTTACACAAATAGGTTAGAAACGCAAGAATGATATGAGAAAGAAAGAGCAATACAAATGCAAAAGGATGTATTCCTAAATTTCATATATTATGCAAAAGTGTTCGAAAAATTACGTCTACAACTGCTCAGCCATTTTGACATGTTTGACTAGGATATTAAAATAATCCAGAACCTATATTGCCAGCCAACCTCCTGCATACAGATAGAAAATGAATTCAGTAAATAAACAGAAATATAAAGGAGCGTAAGACAAGGATGTGTCTTCTCGCCGGACTTATTCTACCTGTTCCGTGATGCATTTCTAAGACGATTAGAATTCTTGAGAGGATTCATTATTTCTAAATGCTAAGCAAAGAATTACGAAACAGGAAAATTTCGTTAGAAACAAAGAAACGAGTAGTGAAATTTTATGTCATATCAGTCCTATATGTCAGTTCAATAGTTATTTTTTATCTGTTTTCTTCCATGCGTTTTGTTTTAATTAATATTAATTTAATGTTTTATTTTTCTATTTTTTTACAGGTGAGTAAAATTTTCGTGTACCTCAAATTCCGTAAGTTCATTTACTTATTGTTTATTTTCTCTCCTTCTTTTTCTTTTCTATTTTTTTTTTCTTTTTAATTATTTATCTTTGGTTAATTTCTCCTATTTATCGCGTCATTATTAAAACAATTTTCTTAGTCATACAGAAAAATAATTTTTGAAAATTCCAAGTCGACTCAATGACTTAAAAGCTATTGGCTGCAAAAAATAAATCGATCAGGAAGCAAATGAAGTAAAATTCTAATAATCATCCTAAAGACCTTTATTCCGCCTTACAACCTTACGACTGCTTTTTACTCCGACCAATCTTCGACCGGAAGCATTTTTGTTACTGTAAGGTTTGATCGAAGTAAATTCCTGTAGTCTGATCTTTCAAAATTTGGTTGAAATCTTTCATTCCCAAATTACAATTCTTTGTTTCTTTCGTACGACTGGTCTCCTTTTATACAACCTTTCTTTTAATCTGACATAAAATAAATCTAATCTATACACATTCCACAACTCCAGGTTCTTTAATTTGGAATTAAATCTTTTGGCATGCGTCATATGATGGTTCTCATTGTCCCTTTGTTATTTAGTAAGTTTGGTAGATAAAACGACACTGAAATGACGAAGTAAATAGCATTTCTAAGTTCTCTGTCCGTTCTTCTTATTTACCGAACGACAAGTGACGCTTTCTTTCGGATTCTCATCTGAAGAATCCTTTAACTGAAAGAGTTGCTTAATAGGTTTTAGGATCTGGCATTTCCGCATCTTTTCCTTTTGCCTGGCATGAAGCTATCACCTCTATTAAAAGATGCTCTATTTGACAAAAGAGCAGTCGAGAGTGATCGGGCCTTTCTATAGAATAAGTGAATTTATTCCGAATTGATTGCCTTTCAGCACCCCCCACTGGTCTTTTAGCAAATGATGCATTAATATGTGCATGGTTTAACTTCGTTTTTTAAAGGATAAACCCGATTCGACATTTCGCAACTGTCGTTTTTTTATATATATATATATATATATATATATATATATATATATATATATATATACTGGTTTGAATAAAATAATTCAAAATTATTACGGAAAAAATATTTTCTAAAGTATCCAAATACCTGACTGGATGAAAGGTAATTTAATAATCAAAACAAAAATAAGCAATTATAGTAACTCTTCGGATTTCATCGAGAAAAAGAAAGAAAGAAAGAAAGAAAGAAAGAAAGAAAGAAAGAAAGAAAGAATGGATGAAAAGGGAAGAAAGAAAGCGAGAAAGAAAAAAATGAAGAAAGAAAGAAAGAAAGAAAGAAAGAAAGAAAGAATGGATGAAAAGGGAAGAAAGAAAGCGAGAAAGAAAGAAATGAAGTAAAAAGAAAGAAAGAAAGAAAGAAAGAATGGATGAAAAGGGAAGAAAGAAAGCGAGAAAGAAAGAAATGAAGTAAAAAAGAAAGAAAGAAAGAAAGAAAAAAAGAATGTATGAAAAGGGAAGAAAGAAAGCGAGAAAGAAAGACATGAAGAAAAAAGAAAGAAAGAAAGAAAGAAAGAAAGGATGAAAAGAGAAGAAAAGAAAGCGAGAATGAAAGAAATTAAGAAAAAAGAAGGAAAGAAACTGTGAAAGACAAAAAGGTGGTTTCGCTTTAATATGTTTCCCGTTAGCATCAGTGAAACTGGAAAAAAACTTGTCATTTTCAAATCTTTTCATTTGTAACCACTTACTTCTTTAAATAATGATTCATATTGACATACCGCCATACCTGACACAAATATGGTTGGGAACACCTGATCTAACTATTTTTTTCTTAGAGAAACTATATACAGGATATCTATCAAGTCTGGAAACACAGACAAAAATACATATTCTCAGGAAATTAAATTTTCAACATATCATTGAATTGGAATATTGATAAACAACATCTTCAATATGATTTCCATCATTTGTGATGCAAAGGTTAATGCGCCTTGGATAATTCACGTGAACTCGATGCAATAATTCCACATTGGCATCAATTTTAACACATTCACTCTTTATTCGTTCAATCAAATGTGCTGCATCTGTGATTTCCTTCGAGTACACATACCCCTTTCACCAAGAAGACATCAAAGAAGTCGATAAGTTTGTCTACCTGAGAAGCGTTGTCAGTAAAGATTGGTGGGGGACAGATGAAGACATCAAGTGCCGAATCAACAAAGCCCGACACGCTTTCAACCCTTAGCGGTCTATCTGGAGATCAACAGCCTTCTCACTTTACATCAAGATTTGGATCTTCAAAACCAATGTCAAGTCGGTCTTATTGTAGAGGGCCGTGGCGTGGCTGTTATGCTGTTGATAGAAGTCAGACGTAGCAGAACCGCATGTAAGGTTCAGATTCTCCTGCTCGCCGGGCCCAACTACATAAGAAGGTTGGACTTTGATTAAGTCCAAAGAAGAAGGCAAAGAAAGCAAACAAAACACAAGACCGATAATATATGTATATACAAATATATATTAATAACAAGTTACAATACATGGAAACAGTACAAAAGATGAAGTGTATGTGAATATTCTGTATGTGCGTGCGTGTGTGAATATTCTGTATGTACGTGTGTGTGTATTGTGCTTAACGTGTTTCCACGCTATCCCTTGTTAGCGCCTACATTTCGAGGTTGATAGCTGAAATCCTGAGGAAAAGGAGAGATTTACCTCAAAGTGTCGGCGCACAGGCCTGAGGGAAAAAGAGATAGAGGCGAAGGGTCCGCGGCTATTTATAGCAGCGAAGAGCGACCCCTGGTGAAAGGGTTAATGTACTAAAGGAGGAGTTAACTCCGAAACTATTTTACGGCTCAGAAACCTGGCGGGTAACCAAGACCAACATCCACAAACTTCAGACATTTATTAACTGATGTCTTAGGATTATCCTCAATATCATGTGGCCGGAAGTTGTTTCTAACGACCGACTGTGGGACAGGACCAGACAAGCCTCAATCGAGATTGACATCAAGAAACGGAAATGGGAATGGATCGGCCACACACTCCGAAAGCCTGCTTCTAGGGTCACAACGCAGGCCCTTGACTGGAATCGACAACGGAAGTGAAATGTGGGCCGAACAAAACAGTTGATGAGATTTCCAATGTGTCGAGTCTTTATTCATAAAGACACGACACATTTGAGTAATAGACTGCAGATTAACCTAATGCCTTACTATAGTTTGTTTTTTCTTATTACTCAAAGATATTTGTCAAACAGAAAGAGAAATGCCTCTTCCAATGACCTTGAAATTGTGTGTGCATAAAGACTTTAATTCAGTGACAGACTTCAAGATATTTCTACAAAATTAAAATAAATAATATACTGTTTATTACTGAATGATGTTCGAAAAGATCACGATTGATTGATTTGTTTTTTTTGTATTTTTTTTTCTTGTATTAGTTTTTTTTTTTTTCGGATTGCCAACACCTTGCTGGTTATTTAAAGCCGGAAAACGTTTACTTTCAGACTGTAAGGATTTTGTGGAGAAAATGTTTTTTTTAAACTGATATCTTTTTTATATTTTACTAATTCACGGCTAATTATTGTGGGGAAAAGAAGTGAATTGATGCTTCTTCCGACGGTATTTGCACGTAAGTGAATATAATGAACCAGATTGAAAATTAGAACTTGTTTCAAAGATTTCCATTTTCAAATCGTTATCTATCAGACCTCCACAAATGCAGGCTTATATTCACAAGCGGTCATCTTACTAGATACTGACCAAGCTCGACGTTGCTTAACTTTGGTGGTCGTAAGAAGACAGGCGTTTCTACATGATATGGCCTCCCCCCACCGAAAAGATCGGTAAAATCTGATTTTTATTTTTTTATTTTTTTTACTTTTCTCCAAATATATATATATATATATATATATATATATATATGAATCAGCTTGTGTTTATATTAAATGTCACAGGAACATGTAAGTTAGCCACGCATAACTAAACATTAAATATATGTAAAGTCACACGGAGGTAGTATCGCTTCTTCTTTTACAATATATATATATATATATATATATATATATATATATATATATATATATAAAAAGCTAATGGTCAGAGTTGAATCAGATGTAGAATTTTAAACTTTAAAAATCAGGATGTCAGTTGAATCAGTTACCTTGGTTTCAAACTTACGGTATATTCAGTCGAATTTTTTCAGTTGACCTACGAACACTTTAGATTTAGAAATAAATATTAAGGCTAGATTATTTATAAAAAATAGATAAACAAACGCACGACGTTGGGTGTGATAGAAAGGGAGAAGAAGAAGAATGTGAAGATGAAAGAAGAAGAAGAAGAAAAAGAACAACAAGAACAACAACAACAACAACAACAAGAAGGGAGACTTGAAGAAAAGCAAGTGTACTATAAATGTATCGGTGAGAAGCTAATTGAAATGTACATTGTTTATATTCAGCCTCATATGTGCTTAAGAGGAATTTTTTAGTATGCATGCATGACTTAGGATTTCTGGTTTAAAAGGTTGTTTGGATTCGGAAAAATGTTATTATTGCTAATTTTTCCTGTTGGAAGTCGTTGCAAATATTGTTGTGGCTATTACAAGTCTTCCCCACCTTTTTTTAAATACACATACATACATACATACATATATATCTATATCTATCTATCTATCTATCTATCTATCTATCTATCTATCTATCTATCTCTCTCTCTCTCTCTCTATATATATATATATATATATATATATATATATATATATATATATATATTTGTTATTTCCTTGCGTTTCTCATGCGTTCCAACCAAAGATCTTAGGTCAGAAATAATTTCAAGATATCTTCCACTGATCTTTTTTTTTTTAAAAAAAAAACACAAAAATTACACATATTTTACATAGATAAAGCTCTTCACAATGCGTGAGTTGTACTTTTGAGTACAATTGTTTGTACCTCTTTAAGGAAAGGGCTACCAGGAATCTCTTTAATGATTCTAATGAATCCGAGTTCTCCATCTACTACTGGAATTATTGATGTCCACATATTTTTGATTTCCACTTCAAGATTTTATTTATAGTTTTCTGAAGGTCGTCAGAATTATTATTATTATTATTATTATTATTATTATTATTATTATTATTATTATTTCCTTTGATTTCTGGTGTGTACACATTTCGTTCAGGGTCCCTCCCAGAGACCTAAGGTCAGAATTGGCATCATGATATTTTCCACTGACACAAAAAATCACATAGATCAAGCTCTTCGTAAGGTGTCGGCTGTACTCGTGGGAACAATTTTGTATTTCTTTAAAGCATTGGCTTCTGGGAATCCCTTCAATTAGTCCACTGGCATCTTTTCCAACCAATCCGAGGGCTCCAACTACAACAGGTATTGTTGATGTTCACCTTTTTGAGATTTTGATTTCAAGGTCCTTAAATTTTGATAGTTTCTTGAAGATCTTCAAATATACATTGCAGCCCACAGGTACTACCATATCAGTGAGGAGCCACTTTTTTCCCAATGTCTGGGTGGTTAGCTTTGATTGTTCTGTCAGTGTGTATTGTGTAGTCCCATAGAATTGTAACAGGTCCTATCTCCGTAACCGGGTCTGGGTGGTGTTCATATCAGTTTCTTTCAGTTTTCTTCCCGTAGAAGTTGCATATTTTCCAGTGCAGATGATGTATTGGATTTCATATTCAGTGGGTGACAATACCGTGCAACGTGATACAAGGTGATCCATTATTATTATTATTATTATTATTATTATTATTATTATTATTATTATTATTTCCTTTGGTTTCTGGTGTATACACATTTCGTTCTGGGTCACGCCCAGAGACCTAAGGTTAGAAAGGGCATCATGACATTTCCACTGACAAATTAAAAAAAAAGAACAAAAAATAAACAAATTTTACATAGACAAAGCCCTTCGTAAGGTGTGCGCGGTATTCGTTAGCACAATTTTTTTTTGGTATTTCTTTAAGGCATGGGCTTCCAAGAATCCCTTCAATGAGTCTACTGGAATCTTTTCCAACCAATCCGAGGGTTCCAGCTACAACAGGGATTGTTGATGTTCCAATGCCACATTTTTGAATTTTGGATTTCAATTATTATTATTATCATTATTATTATTTATTTATTTGTTTGTTTGTTTATTTATTTATTTTTAAAGAAATCAATTAGTCTTCGAGATTTCTAGAAAAAATCCAAAGCATTTTAAAAGGAAAGGAATATTTAATAAGGAATTGTATAAACCGCAGTTAATCGATGACTTCTCAAAGGAACTCAATGATATTAAGAAGATATATTGGAAAAAGAAAAAAACCTCACAGACACACACAAAGGCGTACTTTTACTGGTATCTATCGACTGAAATGCACAAATGCAGTTACATACAGAGTATTAATTTAAAACTGGAATATACCAACAGAGGTGCATACATAAATGCGCATGAAGAAAAAAAGGTTATTTATACTCACGCAAAGGTTTATAGAAAAACACCTATCTTTTTCATGTAGACCAAGCTTCCCTAAAATTTTAAGAAGTGCCTTACGTCGTAATTTATCGAATATTTTTGTATTACTCACGGAATCGTATTCATTACTGGTCACACGTTTCGTCCAAGTGAAATAGTATTATGCTTAAAAATGGATGCTTGGAGTAAGAGTAAATTTAGCCATTTCCACAGAGGAATCGGTTAGCATTCATTACCCAAAAGATTAACGTTGCTATAGGTTAAAATTTACAAAGAATTTTTCAAAGCCTTAAACGGCTTGAAACCAA